CACTGCTGAGGGGAGCAGCGGGCGGGTCAGGAGAGGTCTGGCTCGCCCTGTGGGCACCTCCGGGGCAGGCGGGGATCGAACTCATGCGGAAGCGGCTTTAGCTTCTCAGTGCTGCGCTCTGACCCGCTGCGCCCCAGGGAGGGCGCGAAAATTGGCATCTCAGTGCTATGAGCCTTCTAATCCATGAGCATAGTGTATCTTTCCGATTATTTTTTCTACTTGAATTTCTTCCAGTGTTTTGTAGTTTTCAATGCACACGTCCTATGCATCTTTCGCTGAATGGACTCCTAAATTTATTATTTTTGATGCTGTTATGAACGGACTTCTTAATTTCGTTTTCCAAATGTGCATTTCTAGTATACAGAAATGCAGTTAACTTTTACGTCGAGCCCGGAAGCTGTGCCGTCGTCGTTCATCTTAGTAGCTGCTATCGCTGCTGGCTTCTCGGGATCGCGTGCCGGGGATGGGCCGTGCGTGACAAGCGCCACCCTTCTTTCTTCCTTCCAGTCTGGTCCCCCCGCCCCCCTAAATTACGCAGACTTGGCTTCCACCAAAAGTGGTGACTGGAAGCGGCTAGAGAAGACCTTAAAGGGAAAAGCCTTTGGCCACGCACAGCGAGAGGCTGGCTGTGCACTTCCCGAAGCTGCTCCGGGAAGGGGGGGGTCTCACTCCAGGGGGGACACTCACCACCAACAGCGTGGATGGCTTCCATCTCTTACTCTGCTAAAAGGTGTGATGGACGGCCAGACTGCCTTACATTTCCTGTTTGGTCAATTGCGTGTGATCGTTTTAATGTGCCACTGGGTTGGGCTGATTGATATCTCGCGCGAGGCGGGGCAGCCTCTGGTGGAAGATTACTGGTGCTCGGCGGGAGAGCACCCCTCGCGGAGCTGGCCCCGACCAGGAAGCGCCTGCAGTGTTGAGCGGCATCTCGCCAGCGCGGTGTTCGCGAGGACGCTTACATGTAGGGTCACAAGGGGCGCTGACCCTTATCGTTCTTGTGGCTGTTTCTGATTTTGGTGTCAGGTTTTTCACTCTTTTTCATCCTAGATGCGCATTGTAGGTGCTCTGTGTAAGCGCTGCGTAGCTCTTTGTGTTTCTAACAGAGTCTTTAGAAAGCTGACACCACGCGGACTCTCAGACACTGACGTTCACCGCCAGCAGTGTCTGACGCTTCCGCTCACTGCGCACGTTTTGAATGTTTCCTTGCTCCGCTTGCTTGTCTCTCTCTGGATCGGTGATTATGTCTCCTTCCCCTTTCCGTTCTGCTGGTTTTGAAGTTCCACATGCCCTCGTCATCCCCAAGGGGCCGGCCTGGGCGCACACAGACTCGCAGCCTTTCCTGCAGTCAGCTGGGACCCGGCACCAGGGTGGGCAGGCTGCCGTGCGTTCGGTTGTGGCGTCAGCCCGGCTTCGGGTGCCTCACAGGGTGCTTCAATGCGCCACCCACCCGCGGCCTCTTTTGTCACTGACTGTTTATTTCTCATCTCAGATCTTACATCTGGGATCATTTTTTCCTGACTCATTAGGGTTTTCTTCAGTGGAAAATAAACTCTAATTGTATTTGTCTTTTAAATGGCTGTTTTACTCTGGTCCTTTAAAAATATTTCTTCCAGGGGCCCTCCCTGGTGGCACAGTCTCAGCAGTGTCAAGCATTTGCCACCGCAGCACGAGTTCGATCCCCAGCCAGGGAGGGACCCCAGGGCCGGGGTCCCTCCTGTCCCCTGCTGCTCCCTCAGCGGTGTGTTTCAGTGGATCTGCCTGTCTGCTCCCCACCCTGTCTCTGGGGGTCCCCTCGCTCCCTGCACCGCTGGCCTGTGTTCAGTCCTTGTATGCATAAATGAATAAAGCTTTTAAAAAAGATATTTCTGCTGGGTATAAAATTCTAGACTCTGGTTTACCACCGCTGTTTTCTCTTAGCACCCCGCAGTCCTCCGGCGTCCGTTTGTGTGAAGATGAGTGTAATCACGGTTCCTTGGAGGCCATCTGTCTTTTCTCTCTGACTGATTTTAAGACCTTCCCTTTCACTCCAGTGTTTTGCTTTTTCACTATGGTGTGATAGGAAGCCCCTTTCATTTGTTCTGTTTGGAAATCCGCAGTTTCCTCCCCTGTGGTTTGGGGTCTGGCCTCCATCCTGGGTTACTCTGAGCCATTATCTCCCTTCCGGTTTCACACTGGCTCTTTATCTCCGTCCAAGATTGTCTCTAGTTCCCTCTCAGACCCCTCCAGTTCACCTGACCTGTTTCCTTATCACTTTGCCTGTATTATGCTGTGGATAATGATCAATTTTCCAGTTCACTAATTGTTTCTTCAACTGTGTCTAACTTGCTATTAAACCTGTCCAATGAAATCTAAATTTCAACTGTAATTTTTCTATTTAGGAAAATTCCACTTGACTCTTAGGTCTGACAGATCATGCTTAGAGCCACTTCTCTTCATGTGCATATTTCAACTTTTTGAAAAATTTTGAAGTGTGTTGAATAGGGCTTTTCTCTGCGGTTTCTATTCATTCTGGTATCTGAAGTCTTTGTGAGTCGGCGTCTCTGTTTTTTCTGCTGGCTGTCATTTATGATCTTTCATTTCCTTTGAGGGTTTGTCTTATTTGAGTTGTAAGAGCATATATCTGAAAATGTACCTGTGGGACTTTTGAGGCTAGTGTGCAGTCGAGGTCCATGGGGAGGACCCATGTTTGTCTCTTTCTTTGCTGCACCCAGGGA